CATTGTCTTGGTCCTAGACAATCCAAACACATGCTAAAAAAAATTTCTCCACAGATTAGGGAAAAAAAAAAAATTGGCAATGACATATTGAACAAGGGGATAATCTCTAAAATTTATAGAAAATTTAAACACCTTAACAACAAAAAGACTAATAATCCAATTTAAAAATGGGCAGAGGGCATGAACAGATACTTCACCAAAGACATTCAGGCAGCTGTCAAATGCATGAAGAAATGCTCGGCATCATTAGCCATTGAGAGATATAAATCAAAGTAACAATGAGATCATCATCTCATCCCAGTACCAATAGCAAAGTTCAAAAAAACAGAAAACAACAAATGCTGGCAAGGGTGTGGAGAGACTGGAACCCACACACTGCTGGTGGGACTGTAAAACGGTACAACCACTGTGAAAAAACAGTAATGCAATGCACTGCCGTCATACTGCCGGAGAGTTGGATCCAACTCATAACAACCCCTCCTTGGGTTTCTAAGGCAGTATCACTACAGAAGTAGATTGCCCAAGCTTCTTTCTGAGGAATGGCTGGTGGGTGTGCTTCCTTTAAAACCTGGAAGTAGAAATACCATATAATCTCGTAATCCCATTACTTGGAAATAAAAAGGAGTTCTGGTGGCATAGTGCCTAAGGCATTTGACTGCTAACCAGAAGACTGGCAGTTCAAACCCACTAGCCATTCCTTGGAAAGAAGATTGGGCAATCTGCTTCCATAGAGATACCACCTCAGAAACCCAAAGAGGGGACACTATGAGTCGGATCCCACTCCACAGCAGTGAGTGTGGTTTGGGTTTTGGTAGGAAATAAGAACCATGACTTGAACAGATACATGCATGCCCATGTTCATCACAGTAATATTCACAACAGCAAAAAAGATGGAAACAACCCAAGTGCCCATCAATGGAGGAATGGATCAACAAACTATTGTACATATACTATGCAATGGTAAAGAACAATGATGAATCTGCAAAAGATGTCATAACATGGATGAACTTAGAGGTCATTATGCTTAGTGAAGCTAATCAATCACCAAAGGATAAATATTGTATGAGGCCATAATTGTAAAAAATCAAGAACAGGGTTTCACAAAAAGAGAAATATTCTTTGATGGTTACCAAGGGAGGGTGGGCAAGGGAAGGACCACTAACTACAGGGTCAAAAAACAAAACTCAAAATCACAGCCATGAAGTCGATTCCAACTCATAGCAACCCCCAATGGGTTTCTGAGGTGATAAATCTTTACAAAAGTAAATTGCCCCGCCTCCCTTCTGCAGAGGCTGGTGGGCTTGAACCACCAACCTTCTGGTGAGCAGTCAAATGCCTTAGGCATTATGCCACCAGAGCTCTTTAACTAGATGCAGACATATATTAACTTGGGTGAAGTGAAATAAAGAAATAAAATAAAAAAACAAACCCCTCAGGTCCTCCTCTGCTCAGGAACTTGCCCTGGTTCTCCACTGCTCATCCCTCCACACCAAAAAAAAAAAAAAATTCTGACTCCTGGCAACTCCACGTGTGTCGGTAGAACTGTGCTCCACAGTGTTTTCAATGGCTGCATTTTCAGATGTAGATCACCAGGCCTTTCTTCTAAGGTACCTCTGGGTGGACTCAAACCTCCAACTTTTCTGTTAGCAGCCATTTGTCCCACCCGGGGAATGCAAAGACACAGTCATCTTTCAATAAGTATTTGTTAAATTAAAGAAGAAAAAAAAAGAATACAAAAAAATAATGTATTACAGGGAGATTGTTCTCAAGTAGTTTACGATTTCAAGGAAGATGGAAGGCACCAGTTTAAAATGTTAAAAACCAGTATGGTTAAATCCATGTAACAGACGGATAATAGAAATGTCAACAATGGATTCTCTGAGGAAGGAGTGTTGGGCCTAGGATGGTAAGAGAATGTTTGAGAAGATGTAAACTGCACCAGCCCTGAAGGCACTGAAAAACTCAGCAAGCATAGGAAAAGGGCCAGGGCACCACCCAGGGATTTGTACGATTCTTGTAAAATGAGGCCAAATTACTAACACATGGGGTTCACAGCTTACCCCCACCCATGATAGAGAAGTACAGCATTGCCCTTTAACTTCTCTTCCCACCCTTACCCACCCACAGAGCAGGAAGCAAAGAATAAAAGCGCCAAAGGTGGATTCTCTCCAGGAAAGCTGACAGAGCCAAAGCAGCATCACAAACCCTAGCTCACTCTGGAAGTGATAGGCAGGATGGGAAGCATGTTCAAGATGGTCAGAGCCTCTTGTGGAAACAGAGCATAGCACAGATTGCACACAGAGTTCTGAGTTAAGTGATGAAGAGAAAGACCAGAGGAGGGAGGCTGATTAGTAATGAGTTGCTCAGGAGTGTATGGTGGTTCAGTGGTAGAATTCTCACCTTCCATAGGGAGGTGAGGTGCACAACCACTACCTGTCTGTCAGTAGATTCTTGTGTGTTGCTATATGGTGCTGAACAGGTTTCAGCAAAGCTTCCAGATGAAGACAGACTAGGAAGAAAAAGGACTGGCATTCATCTTTTAAAAATAGTCCAATGCGGATAGATAGGTGGACAGGCTAAACAATTAGGTATGTCTAAATGGGGAGTGTATCCAAGATCATATATAGGGTTGGCAGACAATGGTCCTATAAGTTTATGTGAATGATCAGAATTCCCAGGTGTATAGAAGAGCCGACAAGGGGCAAGGTTGTGGTCACTGCTTGGTCACAGCCAGCTACCCAGAGCGACCGAGTAGTTGAACCTGTGGGCTTGGGACCACAGTCGCAGGGGACATCAAGCTCAATTGGCATAACATACTATACAAAACATTGTTCCACCTCCTACTTTGGTGAGTAGCAACTGGGATCTTAAAAGCTAGCAAGCTGCCATCTAGATGCAACGATGGGTCTCTCCTCGTCAAGAGCAAAGAAGAAAACCAAAATTAATGGAAACAATCAGTTCCTCGCGACTGGTACACCATCCGATCTGCAACCTATACAACTATGAGACCAGAAGAACTAGATGGTGCCCAGCTACCACTGTCATCCACTTGGAAGGGATGTAGGAGATCCTGCATAGAGAGGGAGAACAATGTGGAACAAAACTCAAAATCATTTGGAGGCAAAAAAAAAAAGAAGGTGGGGACCAGGTTTGCTGGTCCAATAGAGCCTGGGGGAACCACTGAGACCATGGCCCCGAGCTGCCCTTCAGGTCTGGAAGTGAACCCACACCTGTGGTTTCCAGCCAAACAATGTACAGGCATGTGAGTTAAACATTTACCTCAAGTAGACACACGTCCTGGAGAGAACAATCATGGGAGAAGGAAGGGCTGCTTATGCACAGGGAGACAGCTCAGTGGGCAGGAGAGTATGGAGGGATGGACACTGGGAAGAGGTAACTATGGGGAGTAAGTGGAAGGGGAGCTGTTGCATTGTGGTAAACTGTGGTCAATGACATGAGACAAAGTATATGTGAACTGCTGTATGGAAAGTGAATTTGCTCTGTAAATCTTCACCCAAATCAAAATAAAATAAAATAATATAATAAAAAAAATCAGCCAACGAAGACCCTAGGGATCACAACAATCTGATCTACACTGATGGTGCAGGAACAAAAAGGGAGCAGATTTTGTTCAGTTGTGTATAGGGTCACTATAAGTCATAGGCCAACTCACTGGCAGCTAACAATAACATGCAGTATGTACATGAACCTCCTTAATGTGTGGCTTGGCTGTGCCAACACTTACTCTATCCTTCTGTACCTTCATTTTCGTATCAGAAAATTGTAGTAACAATAAAAATTACACCATAGGGTTGTCATGAGGATTAAATTAGTTCATTAGAGCAGTACCTGGCATGCAGTGCTTGTTCAACTGAGTTTATTGTTATTATTCTTATTATTGGAATTTTGGCATCAACTTTGCTTCTCTAAATGCCATATGGCTCTAAAGCTGTTCTATGTAGATCATGGCTTTATAAAAATCATACTTTCTATGACAATGTCATCATTGTCTGTCCAAAGCAGAAGTTTCAGTGTTGGGCATAAACTAGAGAGACAAGCTGAGCTAAACTGTCAGAGCCTTGTATACCCAGATGAGGTGTCTGATCTTTATTTTACAATACTTGAGAGCCACTGGAGGTTTTCAATGAGGCTTTCATTCTTTGACATGTGTGGTGTGCCTTTCACTGGCTAGGAAGATGGAATGTACTGGAGATGGAAGAGGGCCTAAGTCACTTTCTTTTTCTTTTTCTTTTTTTTTGCAGGTTCATTCTGCAAAAGTTTATCCAGTCTGTTTTACACTTAACCCAATAACTCTCTCTCTCTCTTTTTTTTTTTTGGTCTACTGTTTACTTTTTTTTTAAGAGTTTGTTTTAAATTCAACGTTATGTGTACATTTAGTTTCACTCTCCATTTACCATCCCAACCCTAACCCAGTCTCCTCCCTTCCCTGCCCAGTAACCCTCCCACTGTGCCCCCCATACTCATGCACTCCTGTTTGTCTTGCATTTCCTCCATGTGAATGTTGCCCCTCTGGTGCTCCGTGGTCCATTGCTCTAAGGGATGTATTACCATAGAGTATGTGGGTGTGTTGCCCTGAGTTGAGTGGTCTGCGTGTACATCTTGTTAACTATTGGGCTGAGAGCCAGCCCCTGGGAGTGAGTTTTATTCCAGGCCCAGAATGTATCACAGGGCCATAGTATTGGGGGTCTCACCAGACTCCATCTGACCAGTAATTCTGGTCATTACTGAGTTTTTGGATTTTGTCCCATGTTCTTCCTCCCACTCTATCCAGGATCTCCATATTTGATCCTTTCCTGAGTGGTTGGCCTTGGTAGCTGGGTACCATCTAGTTCTTCTGGTCTTGAGGGCCAGCATGTCCTAGGGCTGATTGCTTCCAAATGCCCTTGTTTGTTTGTTTGTTTGTTTGTTTTGTCAATGTAAGCATTGACACTGCAATGGGATGATCTCAGTTCAATTGGGTGTGGAATGTGGGTACTTACGGTTCTGGGGTGTAGAGGGGGTCTGAGCCATGCCGGATGTACTGAGTACAATGGAACACTCTGTAGGCCAGTCCTGCCAGAAAGTCTCGTGGACTCAGGTATCCAGCCACTGGCCTCACCGTGAAGCCAGACCTTTCTAAAGAGTCAACAGAAAGAAGCAATTAAATATGAATCCACCAGCACTTGAGTGCCTAAGCAGGGATTCCATTATTTACAAGGATGCTCTAGAAACAAAGTAATCAAGGCACTAAAACTCTTAACAGTTGAATGACATATACTGTTAGCTGTTATCATGTTTGAAGCTCCTGGTTCTAAAATATACTTGCAAATGATGGTTTCCAGGGAAATGAGATATTCATTAGAATGGAAAGAAAGGTAAAAAGATATTGAAGGACTTAAATTCAAGAGCCATATATGTCAAGAAACCTCCAATAACAGGAAAGATATCAGAATGACGTGACCTGCAATCTTTCAAAACAGAACACACTTAGGCAATCTACATGCATTCTATGTGCATGTCTTCAGTAACACACAGGTACCAGAACCCTTCAATAGCATCTTGGGATCAGTTTACATTGCAACTTTCAATTGTCAATACCACCTAACCCCTTCATTCTACAATGTTGTTTTCTGTGATGTGAAAGCAATCATATCAATTACTGCAATTTGAAGAGGTAGGTAGACTACAGCTATACATGTTCTGTTGGTTTATCATAAGTAGAAATAAACAAGTAGAACACAATAAAATACATTCAATGGTTCTATACCACTAACTCAGGCTGTGGGCCAACAGTGTTTTCGGTGTCAGGCTACCTAATGCTTCCTCTCATGCAGGCCCAGAAAACTTAAAACAAGATCACAGTTCTTATCCCTGATGCCAGCATTGTCAGACTCCCAATCCAAAAAGCTCAGCTCATTAGGAGAGCACCTCAAAATTGTCAGAAATAGTTTTAAAAGGCAAGAACCAATTAAGCTTATAAAAAACACGTTCATTCTTAACTTTCTGGTACCTACATGGAATCAACACTGATCTCCTGCCTCCTCAGACCCAGATTCTACCAGCATCCTATTCATCCCAAAAGCCTTCACTTTGAATTGTTCACCACTGAGTATCAAAAAGATAAGAATATTTTCTTCTATTTCTGGCTTCTTTCACTTAAGTCAGTGTGTCACACATGTGGAACACAAGAACCAGTACACACAAGAACATTTTTAATCTTTAGATATCTCATTTGAATTGATATATATTTTTATGTGAATTAGGAAAGTATATGTAACTATCACATCAAGAATTTTTCATTTGTAGAGTCACTGGGTGGTATAAATGGTTAACATACTCAGCTGTTGACTGAAAGTCTGGAGGTACAAGTTCACCAAGAGGTGCTTCCGAAGAAAAGCTGAGTGATCTGCTTCTGAAAAATCAGACACTGAAAACTGTGTGGAACACAGTTCTACTGTGATGCACATGGGCTCACCATGAATCAGAATCGACTCAGGGCACCTGATGGTTATCGCTTTAAAAGTTTCCTTTTTAACCGTGTTTTAAAAGGGCATCAGAAAGAAATCATAATAATACATACACTTACATTATGCTTGCTATGTGCTAATGAGTATACAAACTGAGCTCCCAGCAAGCAGTTCATCAAGGATTTGTGAAATATAATAATAGCTAAGACTTTGCTATGCTTAATGTGTGTTAGGCTTTAAAGTATGTATCAATTATTTTCTTCCTCACAACCATCTTGTGAGGGACTATAATTATTATTGCCACTTACAGAGGAAGAAACTGAGGCACAGAGAATTCATCTAAGGTCAGTCAGATAGTAAGTGGCAGAACAGATTCAGTTTAGGCTTTCTGTGTCTGGAATCCATGCTCCTAACTGCAATACCATACGGCTTCTCATAAAAATATTAAGTAATGTTGGCGTTGGCACAGTGTGTGAGGCATTTGTCTGCTAACCAGAAGGTCGGCAGTTCAAACCCACCAGTTGCTCCGTGAAAGGAAGATAGGGCTACTTCCTTGGAAACCCAAGGGGGGTTGCTATGAGTCGGAATTGACCCTACAGCAGTGGGTAGATTAGCCTTGTTAGACAGATGTGGCAAAAATCATGAGCTGGTATGCTAATTACTCAGGTCTGAGGGATAACACAGTAAAAAGCAATCCCCACTATGAGCTATCAAGCCCATGATAAATATACAATATGTGTGTAACTCTGCAGAAACAGAGAGGGATGTGACAGGGACAGGGTGATTAAAGAGAATATAATCTAGTTAAGCAACATAAGACATGATGTACAGTCAATCCTAATTATTCATGGATTCTTTATTTTAAAATTGGCACACTTACCAAAAAACTCCCAAATCAGTACTCATATGGCTCTCATGATCATTCATGGTCATTCATTTAGGGACAAAAAGTCTGAATTGCCCAGCATGCATGTTCCCAGCAGAGGTAGGACAAGCTGATATTCTGCCTTCTTGTTTCTGCTCACATACTATATCCAAGGGTACTTTTTGTGGTCTATTTAGTGCCAAATGTTTCAAATTTTTGTGCTACTTGTTGGTGATTCCACTGTTTAAAATGGCCCCAAAGCATAGTGCTAGAGTGCTGTCTAGCAGTGCTGTCTAAGCTTTAGTGTTCCTAAGGATGGGATGTGCCTTGTGAAGAACATACATGTTAAATAAGCATTGTTCAGGTATTGGTTATCATGCTGCTGGCTGGAGGTAAAATGGTAATCAATCAACAGTATATATTAAATAAGGTGTCTTTAAACAGAAACACACACAAAACAAGGTTAGGTATTGATCACTTGATGAAAATTTTGTGATCAGAGGCTTCCATACAGAGGCTAACCCTGTATTTCATGGCTTCCAACCAGTTCTTTCAAGTTAGAGCTCCTGCTAAGAATTTCCATTTCCACCCTAGATATACTGAATCAGAATCTACATCTTAACAAGACCCCCAGGTGATTACATAAGGAGCTCTGGTGGCATAGTGCCTAAGATATCTGACTGCTAACCAGAAGGCAGGTGGTTCAAACCCACCAGCCACTCCTCGGAAGGAAGGTTGAACAATCTACTTCCGTAGTGATACGGTCTGGGAAACCCAAGGAGGGGTCACTATGAGTCTGGTCTGACTCAACGGTACATAACAACAACAACATATACATATACATAAGAATCACCTGGGGGTCAAAAGCCTCATCTGAGGATCTTGTTAAAATGTAGATTCTGATTCAGTATATCTAGGGAGGAAACACATATCCTCAGTAGGGGGTAAAACTGGAATAAACCAGTCCAAAGCCCTGCTCTATTTCCCCTAGGAGCAATGGTTCAGTGTTTGCAAGTTTATAAAACACAACTACTATGAATAATGAGAAATATCTGTCATTAGTTACTAAGTAAGTTATACTGACCAGTGGTTCTCAATCTCTTTTCTTTGGTGATAAATACAGTGGGTGATGAACACACTTGGGAGCTTCCACCATGGCCGTAAACACAGTGCTGAATGTGGTTCTCAGCGTAAGACTAGCTGTAAGACCATGTGCTCTCACTCTGATATAAACATGATATATAACAAAGTCAGAGAGGATCATGGTGACTGGACTGGTCAGTATTCATGGAGGAGGCAGGACTTACCCTGAGTCTTAAAGAATGAGTAGAATTTGAGTAGGTGGAGATATGGATCTCCTAGCAAAGAGCAGAGCCTAAGCAAAGGTATGGAGAATCCATAGCTAGAGCAGTAGGTATGTGGGTGGCAGTGATAGCAGGGGACAAACTTGGAAAGCTGGGCCAGAGCCTTGAATTCAGAATCAACAGTTCAGAATTCATCTTATCAGCAAGGGTCAGCAAACTACAGCCCACAGGCTAAATCCAGCTTGCCATCTATTTTTGTATACTCTATGAGGTAATAGTTTTTACATTTTCAATAGTTACCTTTTACATAGTTATATTACCTATTGCCATCAAGTCATTTTCGACACATGGTGACTTCATGTGTGTCAAAGTTAAACTGTTCCATAGAGATTTCAAAGGCAGATTTTCAGTAGCTTGCCAAGCCTTTCTTCCAATGTGCCTCTGGGTGTACTTGACACACTAATCTTTTGGTTGGCAGTCAAGTTCATTAATGTTGACACCACCCAGGGATTTCAGAGTTATATAACTATCTACATAATAGCCTAGATATTGGCTCTTGGTCCACGTTGTTTTTGTTGTTATGTGCCGTCAAGTCGGATCCGACTCATAGCGACCCCTCCTTGAGTTTCTGAGGCAATATCACTACGGAAGTAGATTGCCCAGTCTTCCTTTTGAGGAGTGGCTGGTGGGTTTGAACCGCCAGCCTTCTGGTTAGCAGTCAAGTGCCTTAGGCACTATGCTACCAGAGCTCCCAGAGTCTAAAATTTTACTCTCTGGACCTTTACAAAAAATGTTCACCAACCCCTATAAAAACAATAGGGACCCACTGGGGATTTCTGAGCAGAGACACCAGGAAGAAAAATATATTTTAGGAATAGTAAGCTTTATCTGGAAGCAGTGGGCAGGAGAGTAAGAAGGAGAAGATACAGGGGTCAAGGTTGTAAAATGATTGGGACCTCAACTTGGGTGGTGGCAGTGAAATGGAAAGAAATGAGCAGATTCAGAATGATTCACAAAGTCAAAAGTGTCAATAGTTGAAGACTGTGGTAGGGTGACTAAAAGAAACAGAAAAAGAAAAACACTCACTGCCATCAAGTTGGATCTGACTCATAGCAACCATTCCTTGGGTTTCTGAGGCGTTATCACTGCGGAAGTAGATTGTCCAACCTTCCTTCCAAGGAGTGACTGGTGGGTTTGAACCACCAGCCTTCTGGTTAGCAGTCAAATGCCTTAGACACTATGCCACCAGAGCTCCTTGGGTAACTAATGTCCCCCCAAAGATGTCCATGTCTTTATAACTAAAAATGTTACTTTATATGGCAAAGGGTCTTTGCAGATATGATTGAGTTAAGGATCTTGAGATGGGGACAGGATCCTTGATTAACCAGGTGGGACCAATGTAATCACAAAAATCTATATATGAGAGAGGTAGGACAAGCAGAGTCAAAGAATGAGATGTGACAACAGAAGCAAAAGGCCGTGAATCCTGTGACTACAGGCAGTCCCAGTTTATGAACATCCAACTTACATACAACCTGTAGCTACAAACCCACCCCCATAAAGCCTATTATATTAAAAATTCTAGGTACATACAAACATTTGTAATAACAAACAGGTGCTATTTTGCAGCATGCATCAAAACATTATTATTATTACTGTATAATTATGTTAAAGATGTTTCAACTTATCTCCAAGTGTTTCTTTAAAGCTTTTTATGTATGGGAAGGTACACTATATATTAAGACAAACATTTGACTGATGTTAGATACAAACCACACCTAACTGTTCCAACTTACATACAAATTAAATTTAAAGACAGATTTAGGAATAGAACTCATTCATAATCTGGGGAATGCCTATTTGTGTCAGCAGCAGCAATAGGAAACCAATACAGAGACTTTTTGGATATTGGAGGGATAGGGAAGAATAGGAGTGCAAGAGGAGGAGTCCTTAGAGCAAACCTTGATGAGCCCAGAGAATAAAATGTCACTGATAGAAGCAGGGAAGATGGGCAAGGAAGCCAGCTGCAGGAAAGGAGGTAGGCAATGATGTTTTTGCTTTTAGAGCTGTTGCCTACTGAAAAGGGGGAAGAGAGAGAAAGAACAGAGAACCAAGCACTTAACTACAATGAAGGACAGAAGAGGAAGTGGTGTCACCATGAAACTTTGATCCCCTCACAAAGGTAAGAGGTCAACTAAATTTCCGTATGTGCTGTTAGGCAGAAACATGGCTGGCCAGGCAGGTGAATGATTGAGCCGGAGGGAATTATAAGAATTGGTCAAGCAAGGAGGTGCCTGACCAGAGCCCATACCAAACCCCAGCACATAACCCTTGCTTATGAAAGACCCCAGCACCTGACTCTTACTCACAAAAGCCCCCAACCATTTCCTGCCCACTATGTCAATGAAGTGCTTCAACTCTGCTTCCTACCCCCATGCTAATAGGGTACTTTAACCTTATTGGTCCCTGTAACACATACCCTGCTCTCACTCCAGTCCTCTAAGAACCAGGAAGAAAATCACTATAAAAAACCCTTTCCTTCACCTGGGCAGTGCAACTTCTCTGGCCCCTCTCAGGGACCCATAAACCTCTCCCGGGAGCACAGAATAAAAACTTTTCTTTAACCCCCTTTTGTGTATCCTCTTCTCCTTACTGCAACCTTACAGGTGCTATGTCAGGAGCATCAGTGAAGAGAGTAACCCTACAGAGGAGGTGAACTTGAGATGACTGTACACCAACCGGAACATCAATAATGAGCACAGCCTCAGCACATGATTTCTACTTTAAAATGTTGACTGACTGAGAGTCCCCAGAGAAAAGTTACTAATGTTCAACAGTATCCATATTTCTTCATCTACTATATAACTGTTAACAAAGCAACAAGTGAAAAGGTACCTCTGGAACCACTCCATACCTATGTAACCCTGGCAGAGTAATTCTGGGCTGAGGAAAAGCTCAAAGGTGAACAAGTTATAAATATCCTTTGGGGTGTAACATTTATAACCACTTACCACAGAGACTTCCCCAAGTCCCTGAGCCATGGAAGCAGCTGAGTCAATCTGCCCTGTTCAGAATCCACCTGCCTCTGCTTCCATGGTGACCACAGGTAACTGTTGGTTCAGTGGTCCTCTTTTTAAATTCCTGTTGGCTAGGAAAATAACTCACTTTTCTTTTGTAAAAAAGTCCATTGCTGTAATATACATTCTAGAAGGCAAGTAAGGATGCTTTTATAAAAAAGGGCCATTGTTGCAAAGTATGTCCTTGAAAGGCAAGTGAGGATAATGGCCAGGAAAAGACACCTTGTGTGAGACTTACCTTTCAGAAACAAAGAGACATCTTCAAGTTGAGGCACATTGTCCTCCCTGTAGCCACAGTATTTAGTCAGCAGAGGGAAGTTTTTCAAATACTCCCGGCAAGCATGAGTGGGATAGAGTTTGGAGAGCTCCCGAAACACAACGCCCCAAGTTTTAGTCTCTTCCTCTGTATACTCCACCCTGGGAATGGGCTGACCACTAGACAGGGGAAAAGAAAAGGAATAAAATTAGTTTCGGATCACTGAGATAAAAACCAAAACCAAACTCACTGCTGTCGAGTCAGATCCCACGCAGTAGTGACTCCGCCTTGGATTTCTGAGGCCGTATCACTACAGAAGTAGATTGCCCAACCTTCCTTTCAAGAAGTGGCTGGTGGGTTTGAACTGCCAGTCTTCTGGTTAGCAGTCAAATGCCTTAGGCACTAAGCCAACTTATTGCCTATCCCAACTCAGATTCTTGTAAAGTGGACTCCCTGAGTGTTTGAAAATATCACTGGGTTTTATTTTATAAAGAAGCTCTGGTGGCATAGTGCCTAAGGCATATGACTGCTAACCAGAAGGCTGATGGTTCAAACCCACCAGCCATTCTTCAGAAGGAAGGCTGGGCAATCTACATCTGTAGTGATACTGCCTCGGAAACCCAAGGAGGGGTCACTAAAAGTAAGAAACCACTCCAAGGCAGTGAGTTTGGATTTTTTTTTATTATTATTATTATTTTATAAAGTAAATGCTAAGCCTTCTAATTTTGTGTGTGTGTTACACTTCCACATAAATGATTTGATTAAATTAAGTTATATCTTCACATATCCTTATGGAAATTTGATAAGATTTGTGTTCTTAAACTGGAGCCAGTAACAAGTTAGATTCTGGATCATAAGAAAGCGATTTAGGTACAAAGCTGTGTTCTGAGAAACTTGTCTGCATCACCTGACAGCAGTAATAAATGGATGTTGTCTCTTGAAAATAAAAGTGCCCTGTGGATTTTCTTTGTCCCTTGCCCAGACTCACCCCAATCTCCAAGTGTAATTTTGAGATTATTTGTTCAGTGCAAAATGTCTGGGAAATTCTAAAACAATATGTTGAATTTAAAAGCGAGCATTTTTCAAACCATAAAATAGTATTTATTGCATGTCATGCCGAGAAGCACACATGTTAAGCCCTCTTGGTTTAAAGCAGGTGCTGGCAAACTTTTTCTTTAAAGGGCCCTATATTAAATATTTTAGGCTTATGGACCATACAGTCTCTCTCACAACTACTCATCTCTGCCTTTGTGGCTCAACAGCAGCCATAGACAATATATAAATGAATAGGCCTAGCTATGCTTGAATAAAACTTTATTTACAAAAAAAAGGCAAAGGACCAGATTTGGAAGAGTAGTCTGCTGGCCCTGGTTTAGACTATGGAAAGATCATTCTTGATTGGATTAGTCAGGGAGAACTTCCTATAGGAGACAAACTTTAGAAGAACCTTGTTGGCCAGGTAAGATCTGCTGGTTCCCTGACAAAAAAAAAAAAAAAAAGAAAGGTGAGGATGAACTGATGTTCTAACAACAGCCAGCAGCTATGGACACAGCCTAATAGAACCTGGGATCAGGAGAAGGAGGGGAATATGGGCATGTGCTTTTGCAAACTACGGTTTGAAGGATCAGAATCTGAATTTCGCCTCTGATGAGAATACCTATTCTGGAAGTACAAGTAAAGTTGTACCTGCAGCATACCCCCACTGCCTGCCCCGGCCACTCATCAGAAAGTCAGCCCCTGCAGCCAGCAAATACACACATGATATGACACACAAAAAACTAGGCATTCTACCTCTGCAATTTTTATAATCTAGCCTCTCATAGGCAGTCCCCATAGGAGCCCATGCATAGCAGCAAAATGGCACTCTGGCTTGGCACAGATGCAGGGCACCTCCAAAAGGCTGGGATCATTTAGGAGCTCCTACTGAGGTAGTGAAAATTAAAAGGAGGACAAAACCCAGATTTGGCCATCAAACAGAATCCCCCACCCCCAACCCCTCTACATATTTCAGTTGCTCTAGTCAAAAGACTTCCTGTTTAAGTTCAAACCCAAACTGGGTTCCCACTGCCCCAAACTGTGTATGTGTATACATACATACATAATATACCTATAATTAACTGCAGTACATGAGGTATGAGGGAATACCGTGTACTGAAGAAGAAACCAGAAAGTAAAATTTGCTTTCTCTAAGTACCAAAACTAGGGTTGGTACAAACCAAATTAGAACAAGATTAGCCTTGTTTAAATTTGGCTGTTGATAGCAAATAAAAAATTACAACCTGCCAAATATTTGCTGGGAAAATCAAAACTGCTAAGACTTGGCATCTGGGATGAACTTAGAATGAAAACTTAAAATGGAAAAATGAAAATAGAAAGGATGTAGGGAATAAGTATATAAATGGCCTGCCTCTGGCTCCAGAAAATTCTGCTCAATCAATGTGAGTCGGGTAAGCCAATAAAGCTAATAAGAGCTGTGCACACTCAGAAGATAGGAAAGCTATGAGGCTGAAACAATAAATGAAATATTGAGAAACCATTTGAGAAGAATCGTTAGGTCAAACTTTTCCCTTCGATATCAATTTGCAAACACACAGCATTTCCAAGGGGATCTGAATGTAGCTAATGGGACAAGTGAAACCAACAGAAAGAGAAGGCATATCAGTTAGAGTAGGAGGAAGAGTTATGCAGTCTGTGACTCAATAACGAATTTCCAGTGTTGCAAGCTTGGGAATATGGATGGGTCGTGTATATTCTCATCTGTTTCCACTTGTCTGCTCTGCCTGGGTAACTAACTACTCTGCTGTTTGAGTTAATGACTGGTGCAGTGTCCTGCTGCTACCCTGAACCCAGGTGAGTCAGACACTGATCATATCAAGCGATTTCTCACACCACCCAACCCTTCCTCTTGCAGTTAACTTTCTAAAGGTATTTAAAAATCAACTTCATTATAAAGTAAAGGCTAGTTATAGTCATTCAAGGTCTATTAAAAATATCCAAAATATAATACAAAAAGAAGAAGAAACTTCCCATTTTTCTATGTAGTAAATAAAGGAATAGAATATATATAAGGTTACATGTTTTTCATGAATTAACCTATTTGATTCTCAAAAACAACTCCACAGGTAGCTACTATTACTATTTCTATTTTACAGATGAGGAAATAGACACTCAGAGAGGTTCAGCTATTTGCCTGAGATCATGGAGCCAGGCTTAAACCCAGTCAGTCTGACTCAAGACTGGGGGTCACCTTATTTGACTTGTATATACTAATTAAACAAACATTTATTCCAGCCACCAATTTATTTCTAAATACCAAACTAAAATAAGAATATTAATGTACATGTTCTTATATAGACAATCTTCTATGCAGTCATACGTAATCAGGACACTAGCATGTCTTTGTATATCATGTAAAGTACTTTCATATTTATTCACTCATTTACCCTTTTCAGCCACATTATGAGGAGTGCTGGGTTCCCCAACACAATAAGCGTGTGCTTGGAGACCTGGGAAAGCATGGGCAGTAACATATTTGTTTAAGATTTTGATATTAGACATTTGGGAAAATAAAAATAGTAATCATGGGGAATATCAGAATATATGCACTTCTTTGTATTTATTATGGCTTAACATTGGAGGACTGTGTATATGTATGTGAATTACACATGACAAGGGCAACAGAGGGGACGGCCTAACCTTTCTGGGACCTAGCAGGGTATATATCACTTTCTTCTATTTTAAAAAAGAGTTACCATCAAGTCAGTTCCAGCTTATGGTGACCCAGTGTGTGTCAGAGTAGAACCGTGCTCTGTAAGGCTTTCAGTGTCTGATGTTGCAGAAGCAGATTGCCCGGCCATTCTCCTGAGCTGTCTCTGGGTGGACTCAAACATTCAACCTTTCCATTAACAGCAGAACATGTGAACTATTCACACCCTCCAGGGGCTCTGCATCTATGCATAGGGTGCTCCGTGAGAGTCAATTATAAGGGCGGCAGATACCAGCAAGAAGTGGGGATCCAGCATCTCACTTCCCAACTTGACCCTTGCTGAGGAGCAGGCCCTTTCTAGGGCAACCACCAAAGTGGAACAGTGGAGAGATTTTCTTTGGGAGAATGTTATGGAAGCCTAGGAGTATAGCAGACTATGGGGGAAAAGAGGGGACAATTGACATGTGCCCTCTGAAGTTTGAGGTTCCTATGAATGGAGAGCCTAATGCTCAGAAGGATCTAAAAATTTCTGTGGGACTCAAAGTGATATGCCTAGAAGGAAGATGGTAAAATCTCACTCCCAACCAGTTTCCCTCAGTTTTCTGGGGGCAAAGGAGGATTCCAGTGATTCCCATCATCCCTCATGACGAAGCACTGAAGGGCAGGAGCATGACACCTGCCCAAACTGTGGTGTGCCCAATGTGGAGCAGGTTCTTTTCACATACTAAAGCATGACCACTGACAAGGACAGAGGAGGCAGATCACACACTGCAGGAGTGGAGGTGGAGGAAACGGTCCCACCCATCAAAACTGCACATAACACTATGCAGAGAGCACGCCATAAGAAAGATCCATCTGAACTAGATTGCATGCAGCCAGAGGCCTGCCCAGAACTGACATTGCAACAATCAGCCTCCTCCCTCCCTACCTCCCTCCTCTCAACTCCCATATCCAGAGGAACCAGGTTCTCAAAGAGAAGGGAAGAAGGTGTCTCAGAAGCAGAACAACCTCTCATCCTGCCCTCCCCCCAGTCACAGTCATTCCAAAAAACTAGGGGGTGGGGAGCAGTACACATTGAATCAAGTTTGAGATTATTCTTTTTTAAATGAACAGGACTGGCTCTTAAATACCCAAATGAGACTATGCTAATAATTGAAAATGACAGGAAATTAGATGTTGCTAAGGAAATTTCTTCCCAGCAGGAAAGTAGGATCCAACACAATACAGTCAAAAGCAAGGAGAGGGAAAAATAAAAACCATTTTATGTTCATATAATCCCCAACAAGATGAAATTCTTCAACAAACTAATTATGTGAATATTATAATCAGATATCTGGGGAGTCTCCTTCATATCTAAGGAGTCTCCTTCGTTTACAGGGAATTAGTTGGGATACTGGAATTCTCAACAACTACTGAAATTATTACCCATGTACTCACAAATTCCTGATTCACTGGAGAAAAACAGATGTGGCT